TGCCGAGCACCTGGCCAGAGGGCCCGCGCCCGCGGGGGCAGCAGGTCCCCCCCAGGGCCGTGTCTGCGGTGTGGGCGCACAGGAGAGAGGCAGCGGGGCCTGGTCCTCAGACACACGGCAGAGACAGAGCAGTGGTGGTCCGCATTCCCTTGGGCCCGCAGCGATCCGCAGAGTCTGCCCCGGGACCAGTACTTGGCCCTCCCGCACCTGCTCGTGTTTACCCCTCACTCGTGGGGGGGTTTATCTTTGTGCGGGAGACAAGGAAGTGAATGTGTCTTTTTCCCAAATGGCAAATCCCCTGCCCCGGCATCCAGCGCCCTCCACTCCGCCATGCCCGCCACGCACTGGGCCCTCACTCCGTCCTTCGCTGGTGGCTGTCCCTGGTAGAAGGCGGAAGCTCTGGTCAGCTTGCTTTTCCACACTTTCCCATTATTTGCTTTTGAATGAGCTTTCAAAACGTCCAGCCCCCGGAAGAACGTGAGCCAGTCCCCGTACTGAGGCTTGTGGCCGGTTCTGGCCGTGGAACCGGCCTGCGTGGGGTCAGCTTCTGCCGTGTTCAGGCCGCTTGAGCTCTGCCAGTTTCTGTGGCTGCACCAAGCTCCGCAGGACAGGGGGAGTGGGCTGGAGAGACCTGGCCTGTCCCCTCCCCGCTGCCTGCCGTGTGCCCGCATTTGCCCACGCTGCAGGCGCTCAGCAGGCTGAGCGGACGGGACGAGGCCAGCGTAAGCGGGGTGACGGTGCGCCTCCCAGTGTGCCCACGCCTAGCTCATGGGGACACAGCCCCGGACCCTGGGGCTTTCTAGAGAGGGGGGCACTCAGCCTGGGCTTGTGCCGGGTGGGACCTGGGGTGTGGGGTCGTGAGGCTGAGCCCACAAGGAGTCACACTCCAGGGCTAGAGCATTCCTGAGTCAGCGGAGCTGCTGGGTACACGCTTTTGGGGGGCGGGAGGATAGGTATTTCACTGACATGCTTCTTAAGTCTCCCTTACTCGGGAGGGTTGGGAATCAGTCCCGGAATGCAGCAGAGAACGGGAGAGGGCCTGCTCAGGCAGAAACCTGTAGCACGGCCGGCGGCGAGGTGGCGCCCCGACCTGGCTGTCAGCTCTCCGGGACCATGCCCCTTTGGGTATGGAAAGCCTGGCCAGTGGGTGTGATTAGACTTGATGCAGGGCAAGCCTTCACGGCCTTCGTTTTCGCTGCCATCTCATCGCTTGGTTAAGTCCCTTGACCGTGCACTTGAAGAAAGCGTTCCTGATGCTTAGCCGACACGAACCGAAAAGTGTCTGTGGGCGTCTTCAGAACAGAGGTTGGGACGCTGCCTGCCGTAGGGCCCAGCGTCCACTCTGCTGCCCTCCATTAGCTGGGAGTCCCAGGCCGGCCACGCCCGCCCGCTCTCGGTGCCCAGGCTTCCCCTCTGCCCCTCCTCCTGGTGGCCCCTTCCCGGACAGGGCAGCCTCCAGGCTCCGTGCCTGGCAACACCACCTCCACTCGTGCCTGGGCAGCTTCTTACTGCAACCAGCCAGGTTCCTAGTCCCTAAGTGAAGAACGAAACCGTACTTTAGGCTCCTCGGTGTCATGCTCCTTAAGGAGCACCACGTGAGTGGCCCACGCCACCTCCGGGAGCCCAGGCTTGCTTTTCTACAGGGTGACTCTGCCCTCACTGGGCCCTGCGCACGGGGACCTTGGAGCGTGGGGCTCAGAGTCTGACAGAACCCGCTTCGAATCCCAGCGAAAAGTAGAGCTGGGTGGCGTGGCTGTGTGCGAGGATGCTGTGTCCTGCCCAGGTGGGCTGCAGGCCATGGGCAGGTGTCCTTGTGCCCATTAGCAGAGCAGGCGGTTTGTCCGCAGCTCTGAGCTCAGTACCCGACTGTGTACATCACAAGATCGTTGTTGAAACCGAAGTAATCTAAGAAGTTTTTGTTTTCTTATTTTAGAACAAACTCACGATGTTGGATATTGCGTCAAACAGAATCAAAAAGATTGAAAATGTCAGCCACCTAACAGAGCTGCAGGAATTCTGGGTAAGTCTGACACCCCGCTCTGGGATGGATGGAGGTGCGTGGAGTGGGAGCACAGTGCCCAGTGGGCCTGGTGTGCAGCTGCCCCGAGGGAGGGTGTGGCTGGCTGGGCTGGACACGGGGCTTGGCTGTGAGTGGTCCGCGGAGCCACACCTCGGAACCAGCCAGAATGAGGAGCAGACAGGCCCCTCTGCAGGGAGAGGACGGGTCTGAGGCCGTGCTTCTGACAGGGGCAGAGCATGGGACACAGGCGCCGAGACCAGGTGGGTCCAGCTGGGCACCCGACTAGCAGGGAGGCACATGGCCCTGCGACACCCCGAGGACGCTGTGTCTCAGACCAGTGGATGGGGAGCGAGAAGGGGTGGGGCCTGCCTTCGTGGCGAGCAGGCCCCCCATCTCATGAGGGGCACAGGAGCCCACACAGTGGGGTCACCCCATCTCTCAGCCAAGGAGTTGGACTCCAGGAGGGGGTTCCGCCTCGTTGGGGGGCTCAGCTGTAGGTAACATTGGAAACACACCTGCGCAGATACTCCCAGTGGGAGCAAGGTCCTGTGTTAGAGGCAGCTCGAACCGGGGCAGAGCTGGGGGCGGAAGGAATGGTTGCTTGGGAATACGTAAAACATTTTCTAACGCGTTAATTTCTTGAAATACACTGTTATGTTTTTCGGTTCTTTTAAGTTTTCTGTAATGAGCACGTTATTTTATAATTAAAAAAGAGTTTGGAAAAGTGTATTCTAGTGGAACGAGACAAATTTACATGCAGCATCAGCTCGTTGACATGCGCGTGCTCGCGAAAGAGGCAGCGAGAAAACATCCCAGAAATCGGCCATGCCGGGTACTTACACGGGAGTTACCAGACTTCACACATCAGGGCTTTTCCATTGTTCTGGGAGCTGGGTGCTCAGCACTTCCCAGCTCACTGCTGCCTGGGGCCCTGGGGGTTTTCCCCGCGTGCCCCTCCCAGCCGTCCCCTCCCCTCATCCTTCATCAGGCCCTGAGTGCGTCTCGCATTCACAGAGGTAGTTGTTTTCGGATTTCCCTTGTCCCTCTGCCATGGTCTTTGGAAACTAATACAAACCAGGGTGGCTCGTCTCTCAGAGCCTCCCTGCCCCTGGCAGAGGGGCCACGAGCATCCACTGGACCAGGGTGGACAGAGCGGGTGCTGAATGCAGATGCTGTGACAGACACACTGGACTGGAGCTCCATTGTGCCCTCATCTTGACAGTGGTTTGAAAAGTGGGAGAACTCTCCCTGGCCAAAGCAGGTCCCTCCAGGTGGCAGGTCCTTCCCGTGAGCCTCGGCAGAGTCAGGGTGTGGAATCTAAGCTACTTTGAGCCCACAACTCAGACCTCGGAGCCCCTCCTCCTGAATTTCCTATCCTGGGACATGGCATGGGCGTGTGGCGTCAGCTGTGGTAGGGCACTCACACCACTGAACTGGCAGGGGTGTCCAGGTGGCAGGCCAGAGGCAGCCCTCGGGAGAGCCTTAGTCCCATTGGGGTGGCCTCTGCAGTGGTCAGAGCACCTGGGCGTCAGGAGCGACTCTGACGGCCGGTCCACAGCAGATGCAGCGGACCGTGTGAGCACGGGGGACAGGGCAGGAGTTGTCACCACTGCTTCATCTTTTCTCTGCTGGCCTTAATTTGCATTTGCTCCTGTCGTGGTGACGTGGCCCCGATTCTGGGCATGAACAGGTGCATTCTACTTGGGACACGGCCGAAAGGTGGCCAGAATGTGCCAAGAGGCGATGGAAGTTTCCGCGAGGTGCCAGGGAAGACCTGCTACCCGTGACTGTGACTTGTGCCTGGGGGCTGGCGTGCCCGTGGCCTCACTCGAGTGGGGAGGGGGAGGCGCAGGGCCGCCACGTCCCGAGGGCGCGTCTCTGACGTGCGTGCGTCTCCTGCAGATGAACGACAATCTGCTGGAGAGCTGGAGCGACCTGGACGAGCTGAAGGGGGCGCGGAGCCTGGAGACAGTGTACCTGGAGCGCAACCCCCTGCAGCGCGACCCGCAGTACCGGCGCAAGGTCACACTGGCCCTGCCCTCCGTGCGGCAGATCGACGCCACCTTCGTGCGCTTCTGACACGCCCGCCGCCCGGCCCCCCTTGGGAGAGCCTTCCGGCCACAGTTTTTTAATCCGCCGTTGCTCCCGAAAGCATCTCTATATCAACAGTCAAACCCATGGCAATAAAAAGGCACTGAGTGAGTGACAGCTGCCCGCGTGGTGCCCGCTCAGCACTGGGACGCCCTCGCCGCCCCGCCCCACCGTGCCCTGGCTCATGGGTGACGTCACTGTCCCCCAGGCCGCGCCGCCACTGCCCGTTCCTGCTTTCTTCTCCGGAGCGAGGTCACCTCTGCCCGAGGAGGTGTCACAGTGGGTCAGCGCTCTCACCGGGCGGGCATGGAGGGCGCCCAGGGGCCCCAAGGCCAGCCACCCAGGCCCAGGCCCCCAGGTCAGCGTCACCTGCCAGCACGCGCCTCGTCATTCTGCCAGGAACGCGAACCCCGAGTCCCCCCTCGAGGCCTATGTCGCGGCCTCCTGTCCTCACCGCCACCCCGTCGGCCTGTCTGTCAGCTTCACCTCAACAGTCACCAGGGTCCAAGTTTAGTCTACAAGGACCCTGTCATCCCTCAGGGTCGCAGATGTCCCTCTGCGGAGTGAGGACTGATGTGGTCACCACAGGTCCCTCTGCTACTTAAATCCTAGGGCTGCCCTGCCCACGAGAGGAGTCACTTGCTGCCACACGTGGCTGCTTCAGTTCAAACTTAAATCCATTAAAATAAGGTGAAATTAAACATTCAGTTTCTCGGTTACACTCAGCACAGTTCAGGTGCTCAGAGGCCGCATCTCAGGGGTGGCTGTCCTGGCCGGTGCTACCCTGACCCTGTGCAGTGGGCACAGGGTGCCCCAGGGCCCACCGCACAGGAGTTGTGTGCGCAGCCACATCCAATTCCTGACTAACCCTCCCCAAATAAGGTGTGGGACCTGACCACAAGCGTCCTCCAACTCAAAAGCAAGCTAGGGGAGGGGTCGGGTGGGGGGCGGGGACCCTTGTTTATGACCCTGGAGTCATGGCCTCGGCCAAACACCATTCACATCCTGGGACAAAAGACACATTTTAGACACAGGATTCAGGATGTGGGTGCCTGTGCCGAAAAAGTGATTCAGAGGAGCGAAGAGCTTGAGACCAGGAAACAGCGCGGAAGCAGCCGCGACGCCCCGAAACCAGCAAAACCGAGGCGGCCACGGCACGGCCGGCGACACAACACTGAGCCGCCTCGCGCTCGGGCTCTCGGTGTTTAATCGGGAGCGAAGGGAAGCAGAGGCTCCAGCCCTTTGCCGTAGGAAAGGGAGCGATACAGTTGGTAGGAAAATACAAGTTTAAAGTAACCACTAAGAACAGAAATAAGTTGTGAAACATCCACAACTTAAATCCTGCCCTTGGGGGAGAGAGCAGAAGCGTGGCTGTCCCCTGGTGGCAGGGGACAGGAAGGTGCCAAGGGCAGGCATGAGACTTCCTCGGAGTCGGTCACAAGTAGAAACCCAGCATCTATTAACAGACGTTTAAAAATTACACAAAAACCTTCAAGAGGAAGGGCATGCTAAATCTAGCACAATCTTAATCAAAATTCCATTTGATTTTTTGAGAAATTCATTAAACTTTAAAATTTATATGGAAGAAGAAGATCCCCATTGAACCCTGAAGCTTTGGAAAAGTTCAGTCAGCTCTGAAGAAACTCAAGATATGGGGCCAGGGGTGAGGCCTGAGGGCAGGGGAGGGACCTGGGGCAGGGGAGGGGCCTGGGAGCAGGGGATGGGTAGGAGCATGACAAGTGATCTGAGTGGCACAGCTGGGCACAGGAAGACTTCAGGCCATGAACGCGGCATGGCAGGGAACCGTCAGGGAGACAGGAGTCCCCCATGGGCGGTAACTATGGGGCCGTTCCGTTCAGACCCATACTGCACGTGTGTTCTAGAACAGTCCTACTAGTCTGGCCCCTTTCCAGACCACCTTATGACCAGGGGGAGCCTGAGAAAGAATGGGACAGCTGGCACAGTGCCCTGAATATGCACTCGATGGCCAGGCCTGCTGCAGCCACCCTGTGGACACAAGGCAAGGCCCCTGGAGCCACTGAATCCACCCTAGCGCCACCACCCCCTCCCCACTTCTCGTGAGCTGAAGAAGGTCTTTTTCATTAAGCAGCAGTCGCTGGGTTGTTTTTTTAACTTCTACCAAATGTATTCCTAAATGTTACATAAATGGATAGAAAAGTTACAGTCACTTAGAGCTGGCGTAGCAGATCCTGGGGCTGGGCTCTTCCTGGCACTTGGCCGGAGACACTTGTGCTGGTCGCAGCCTTCTTTCTTTCTTAAAGTTTTAAAACTGCAAAAGTAATGCAACTTGAAAAAGCTCAAACCATAAGCCCCTGCAGAGAGTTAAAGTTCAAAGCTATACCCAGGGTGAGCCTGGCTCTCCCTCCTGGGCTCCAGCTACCGCCCCCACAGCTTTCCTGGGGCAGGCAGCCCTGGGGCCCCCGGAGCCACGTGGCCACGAGAGCAGAGCCTGGAGAGCTGCCCTCTTCCTGCGATGGCCCTTCGCACGTCGGCCAGAGCAGTGGATAAGGCTGCCTCAGGCCAGGCCAACTCTGGCCAGGTGCTCCCTTCCAGAGGCCCCTGGGGTCAGGCTGAGGCCACCATTGGCAGAAGCCGGCTCCTTGCCGCCTGCCTCCTGCTCCTGGGCCCTGAGCCCCTCCTGGGGTCTTTGTGGGGAGAGCTTGACCCCAGACAGACACCTCAGTGCAGCTGCTCCGTGGCCACCAGGGCTCTGCCGGATGCAGGGAGAGGCTGGCCCGCTGTCCAGGGGCTCCCCGGGCGGCTGAGGGCACTGAGGGGACCAGCCGTGCTGGGAGGGCCACAGGGGGGACTGGGCCCCCTTAACAGACGGCCCCTGAACTAATGGGGTATGCCTGAGGCCACACCCAGGAAGTGGCCAAGCTGGCTCTGAGACCTGGGTCCCCGGACGTCCCCAGGGGCACACCTCCAGGTGGGGAAGACACGGCCCTTGCCTGCGGCCTTCAGCTGAATTCCGCCCCTCCTCCCGCCCAGCAGATGGGGTCCCGAAGCGAATAAGGGGAAAAGATGAGCTGTGTCAGTGGCGGGGGAGGGCGGTGGCCTTTGCATGCGGGGCGTGTGACTGAGCCCCACCCCCACCCCACACAAAGGCCGAGCTGTCCCAGCAGCCGGGGAGGCCTCCCCTGCCCGCCACCGCCTGCACAAGCCGTGAACGGGTCCCTCCCAGGTCCCTGTGCGCGGGGCTGGCCCGGACTCAGCTGCCCAGACCAGGCTCACGCTGGGAGGCTGGCCATGGCCCCGGAGGCCTCGTCGAGAAGCCGCCGTGCTGGGCTCGGGCTCGTGCTTGGGCGCGGGCGCGGGCGGGGAGGCGGCAGGCAGGTCTCCACCTGTGCCGTCAGCCCGCCACACGACACGTGGCTCCCGGGCCCCTGTGCTTGGAGCACCCTGTCCTGTCCCTTCCGAGCAGAGCGCGGGGGAGGCCCCCTCCCCACCCGCTCCCCGCAGCGGGGTCTCCTGCCTGGAGGGGACCACGTCACGATGCCATGGGGGCATGACCCCTGGCTCTGGGCTGTGTGGGACGTGATGGAGGGTGCGGGCTGCCCCTCGACCTCCTGTGGCTCCGGCACCCTCTCAGCCATCGTGGCCCTGGGGACGTCCCTCAGGGCCACCTTGGTTCTGCTGGGTGGAAGCACCGGCCCCGGCTCGAATCCAGCCCCCTTCTGGGCCACAGGTCGCCTCTAACTCACCCCACTTTGCCAACCATCGACTGGGACAGTGACACCTGTTCCCCCCTACCCCAGAGAGGCCCAGAGGCCAGCACAGGACACAGGGTCCATGTAGCCAGGCCAGCCCCCGAGCTGTGTCCAGGACCCCCAGGAGGGGCCGAGGCCCCGTCTCTCTCTGTTGCAGGCTACGGTCTGTCCCGTGCAGGACACTGGTGCTCTAAGCACCCCCACTCCGGCCTCAGGCCCCGCTGCCCACGCAGGGCTGAGGGGAGCTGGGCAATCACCAAACAGGACAGACAGCCGGCTCCCTCACCCTGGTCCCCTCCCAGAGCCAGAGGCTTGATCTGGGGAGTCTTCATGCATCCCCAGATCAGACAGCCCGGCCTGGCCCTGCCCAAGTTCTTGCCCTCACTGTGTGGTGGCTCGCTGGGGACCGGGTCTCACGTGTTCCTCTCCACCCCAACCCTCCCTGGTCCTGGAGGAGTACAGGAGCAGATGCCACAGAGACGACCGGGAGGACAGTGCTGTCCTGATCCACGTGGCTGCCGGGCCGAGAAGGGGGGCTCTGACGGGAGCACCTCAGAGGCCCTGGGGCCAGCTGCCCACCCGCTCCAGGCCCACAGTCTGCGGGAGATTCATCCCCACCCTCGGGTGGACACAGGGACCCAGGTGACGAAGGCCCTGCACTGGCCCTGAACCTTTGAATGGGCTCATGCTCCCAGCCCCCCCAGCCCTGACTGCTGCATGGACCACCTGTGCCCTCAAGCTGCCTGCCAAGGGGAAGGAGGTGTCTTAAGGCTCATGCTCAGGTTACCGCCTGCCTCGCTGGCCCCAAGGGATGTGCAGAACCCCTAGGGACAGGCTGCCCAGCGAGGCCAGTGAGGGCAGAGGCAGGGGCGTGGCCAGGTCCCACCAGCATGGAGGGGACAGAGGGGACACAGGGCTCCCACTCCTGTCACACCCTGGAGGGACCTGGCCTGCCCGCCCCGCTGCCGGCTGAGCCCGTGGCTGCCCACGAGGCCTCCGTCTGCTCCGAAAGGCCCTGGGCGTGGCAGCCCCCGGCAGGCTCGGCCGGAGTTTCCAGCTCACGCAGGTTCCCACACCTGCCTGGGGTGCGGACACCCCAATGGCAAGGCTGACACCCTCTCGCTTAGCACCCCGGCCCCCAAAGCTCCCCCTGAAAGCCCTGGGCGAGCCCTCACTGGCTTCAATGGTCAGTGATTACTGGGGCCTGCATCCTGGGTCCAGGCCAGAGTCAGCCCCGTGTCACCCCACGGGGGTCCCCACAAGAAACAGGGTGCCAACAGCTCTGCCCCCATTCCCACGCGCGGTCTGCCAGCTGTGCCTGGGGGTCCGTGTAGCCCATGTCTGAGAGGGAGGGCACAGCGGGGCCACCTCTGTGGCAGGGAGGGTGGTGGACATGTGGCCGGCCCCCCAAGCCGGCTCGGAGCCCTGCTACCAGTGTGTGGCCAGAGGCTGCCTCGTCGAGCTGGCACAGAGCTGTCGGTCACCGTGGTGGGCAGGCAGGTGATCACAGCGTGCAGGAGGCTCTGGTCCCACGAGTCGCCCCACCTGCCCGGGCAGTGTCCAGCAGCGTGGGACCGCGGAGCGTCTGGGGCAGCGGGGGAGGGCAGGGTCTGTGCCGGCCGGCCGTGCGCCCTGTGGTTGCCGTGTGGGCTCACCGAGTCCCCGCCCTTGAGCCAGCTCCGGGGGAGGGGAGGCCTGGGTCCCAGGGCCTCGCCCACGCTGCCCCCGCTCCGGTCTGTAGCCCCTCTGGCCAGGCGTCCTACAGCTCCCCAACCTCAAAGGTGGCACCAGAGGAGGAGCCAGAGAGGCCCTGGGCCTCCAGCACCCTGACCGCTGGGGTCCTATCTCCCCAGCGCTGCCCCCACTAGCAGCACTGGGCCCCCATCCAGGCAACGGGACCCCCTCCCAGGCCAGGGCCCTTGCGATGGACGGCTCAGGGCTGGACCCAACCTGGACACCGTCCCACCTCC